ACTTTGGACTAGTATAATTATGTCGCTCTTCGAATTTTCGATATCCTCAGCACCTAAGGTTAGATGACTTCCATTCCTCTTGCTTAACATATTATTGACAAATCGTCTGCAGTATGAAAATACCCTTAGAAGCCTAGACCACGACTTACACGTACGAAATCGATCTAGAAACTCATCATTGCATCTTGGGGGTTTGAAATCTTCTGTCAATACATGGGCTACAGTGTTCTCAACCTTTTCTAGGCTAGGCCATTTGCCTTCTTCCTCCCACAAGAATCCTGGTCCTTGTAACCACTCCCTTAACTTAGCCTTATCATTTAGTGATAATCCACGTGACGCATGATCCGCAGGATTCAATTTGCTTTTCACATATCTCCACTGGTTCGGCGTAGACAGCTCCTGTATAGTTTCTAACCTGTTACTCACAAACCTTTCAAACCTTTTAGTCGTATTTTTTATACAGTGAAGCACAACTGTCGAGTCGGTCCAATAAATGACTGACGAAATGGGGATGCTCAACTGTTCCCTTACGTGCCTTCCAATCTTGGCACACAGAACGCAGGCCGTTAATTCCATTCTGGGTATGGTAACAAGTTTTAGAGGAGCAACCCTAGACTTAGCTAGCAGTAACGAACAATGGATCTGACCAGAAACACCTTCATAACGAATATACGCAACAACACCATACGCAAGCTCGGAGGCGTCGGCAAAACAACGAATTTGTGCAGATGACGGTTCAAACCCTGGTTTCAAACACCTTGGTATTCTTAAGTAGTCTAACCCTTTTATATGTCTACACCAAATATTCCACTTTGCTTGACAATCTATGGGTAACTCGGCATCCCAGTCTAGTTTCTGACGACAAGTATCTTGTAAGACCACTTTAGCTGGTAATATTATTGGGGCTGCAAACCCAATTGTATCAAAGATAGATGCTACGTACGATAAAATATTTCTTCTGGTTGGGTTTCCGTGAAATTCATGAACTTTGAAACATAACTCGTCTGTTCGGACGTTCCACTCTATTTCCAGAGTTCGTTTACTTGTCTCATTGGATTCGCAAACAATAATGTTTCCTTCAACACGGTCTTCTTCTGGAATGAACTCCAGCACTTCAGCGCTATTACTAGTCCACTTAGTTAAGTTAAATCCTCCCAAACTTAGGAGTCTTTTGAAGTGTGAATATGTCAGTTTGGCTTCTTCTATAGTATCCACACTTATCAATAAATCGTCCACATAGAATTGCTCTTTAGCTGCTCGCGTGACTGCCTTGGGAAATTTATCTTGATTATCAGAACTCGTTTTCTGCAAGGCAAACATGGCGATGAAGTTGCCCCGAACAGATGAACTTTCATCCTATAGATCTCGGGTTCCTTTTCTAAGTCTCCACCTGGCCACCACAAATACCTAAGAACATCTCGATCATGCGGCGGAACTATTACTTGATTGAACATGGCTTCAATGTCCGCCGTAAGACCTACTGGTCGTTGCCGGAACCTGGTGAAAACATCTACTAGGTTATTGACTAAATCAGGCCCAGAATAAAGGTTCTTGTTTAGAGACGTTCCAACATACTGAGCTGCGCAATCGAACACTATTCTTAATTTGTTAGGCTTCTTGGGGTGGAAGACTGAATGATGAGGAAGATACCAAATTCGTCCATCAGAGTGGTTATCGTTTACCTTTACAGCGTAATCTCGTTCTATGTACCGAGTCATGGAGTCCACATAGTCTTGGCACAATTTCTTATCCCGAATAAGTCGACCTTTTAAGCAGCTAAGTCTACGTTCTGCTAATTTCCTGTTATTAGATTACTTGTGTTTGTGTCTCGAAGTCAAAGCTATTTGATAATTCCTGTTCAACCTTTGCACTGAACCTGATATAACACTGAGTGCTACACGATCTTCTACAGACTTCGATATCGTACGACTTAACGGATCTTTGAATTCTGTTGAGTACAACTGTTCAAACTTATCCTCTAATTTTTCTTTAGCTGAGATGTGATTGGCCACACGATTGTTTTCACAGGGCTCCCCATGGGAACCGAACTGCGTCCAACCTAAGAGAGTCCTCACAACGGATGGTTCATCCGACTTTCCAGTTCTTATCTCTTTCGTCTCGTGTACACTCGATGTGTTGCACCCGATCAACAGGTTGACGTTCTCATCTTCTACTCTCGGAAAGTTTATGTCCTTTAAATGCGTCCAGGATGCCAATTGAGATGCCGTTGGTACTGTCCTACGCAACATAGCTAATCTCTCTACTGTCCATACATTTGGGATTCGAAGTGATGACGAATCTAAGAGGGAACTTTCTACTTGAACCTCTTTACATTGAAATGTGGACTGGTTATCCAGTGTTTTCAATAAAATCGTCTTAGACTCTCCTTCTAAACCCAATCTTCTGGCTAGATTTTCTGTAATAAGTGAAGCATCCGGCCCACTATCTAAGAAGGCGCAAGTCTGTACTGACTTGTCTCCATTTTTTATCAATACAGGCACTATTGCAAATGCTACTTGCTTCTGTACACACTCAACGCTTTTCTCCGTACATAGTTGGGTATTAATGTGTGCACTATTATTATTATCTCTTTGCTCTTCCCACTTCTTATGTAACAACGTATGGTGTCTCCAACCACACCCTTCGACGGCACATGATCTCGGCGCTCGGCAGTTTCTTGCTAAATGGTTCGCCTTTAGACAGACATTACACAACTTCTTCTTTGATACAAATTCTATCCTTTCATTAACACCCTTGTCTCTAAACCCTTCACATTGATCTAATGGGTGGTTTCCCGTACATAATAAACATGACAATCCAAGAGTCTTTCGTCTTACGGGTGGTGTAACATCAAACTCATTTGTGTTAGCGAATGACCCTCGCTTTATTTGCTGAATCAAGATGTCCTTTAGTATTAGCAACAGATTGCTTTTGGTTGCGATTAGAAGGATCGCTGGTGACAAGTAACCCGTATCTAGTATTGGCAATGTCTGACTGCTCTTTCACAAATTCGCCAAGGTCCTTGAATGAAGGTTCTCTACCTGTCTTAAGAATTCTACATGCAACTTTAACCCATTCTCTTTGCAGGTGTAACGGGAGTTTTAAAAACATGCATTCGATAGTCTTTGTAGAATTAAGATCAGATACATAGTTCATCTGCGTGAGTGTTAGCTCACAAATATGCATCTCACGAGACAACCTTTTTAAATTATATTGATCGGTCCCTTTAATGGCAGGGATGTTCAGCATCTTATCAATAAATGCATGGGCTACTATATGCTTCTGACCAAATGCTTCCTCGAGAAGTTCTAGTGCTTTACGATAGCCTTCTTCTGGCTCGAGCAACGCGCAATGATCAATAGTGTTTTTTAGCTTCACCATCACAGTACTGGATCAAATAGTTTAACCTAGATCGGAACCCAATGCTCTCGTCAAAACAGTCCTCGAAATTCCGTATGAAGCTCCAATAGTTCATAGGGTTACCATCAAACCTTATAATCTCTTTCTTTGGTAGGTCTAAAGCTCTAGACATTATTGTTACCCAGTCTTTTCTAGGAGGAACATCAACGACATGTGAGACAGATGTAGACTCATACAGCATCGCCTTGTCAATCATAACTTGATTATAATGTTCTCTTCCTTTTTGGCGTAACCGTTCTAGCTCGATTTCTTTTTCTATCTGAGCTAAACGTACTTTAGTTAATTCTAACTCTAACAAGGGATCCATTCGGTAGGTGTTTCCTCCGAGCTGGTCATCACTATGGGTTTCTGAATAATTAGGAGACAATTCAGGAATATGATCAGTTTTATCACTCTCCATAGACATCTAAAGGTACCCAATGTACGAAACTTTGATGAGATACTGTTCGAAACTTTGTAGGGAGCAATTTCCTACAGGTTTAATTCTGAGCTATTCTCTAGACCGTTGAATACAGAGTCTTGGTTTGGCCAAAGTCAGAACAAGCAAGTTATTTGGCTAGATAAACTTTATCTGTTTCTAAAACATAAATTAACATCGTTAGTGTACAAACAAACTGTACGGTCTATTAATACAGGGAAAAAACAGACAAAAAACATACCGAACAGTAGCCAGAGAATAAGCCATAAAGAGCATGTCGAATTTTGTTTTGGTTATAAACGGATTACTGATGTAGTCATCCATCAAAATGTTGAATACTACCGTGTATCTTTCATGCCAACATTCGTATCTAACTACATCACGGTTGCTTCTGTTTGCTGAACTAAATTGTCTTCTAGAATATTATATTAACCGGTAGCGTCTGGAAAGTTTAAAAGCACCTGAAGTGGAATACTGAAATACTACTATCTTTGTACTTCGTTTTAAACTAGTAGCACGTTAAACAGGGTGTTCAAACTCTACTAATTTTTAATATTACCACCCATTAAATTCTGGAATCAAAATTTACTGTGCTACCCTGACTAAACTTAATCAGTTAGTAATCAACATCGGCAAACAAATCATGTTCTTATAACATCGAAATGTACTTCTAATGAAATGACGGAAATTCACAGCTACAATCGACATTTGAAATAGTCAGTAAATTCATGTGCCTGGATTACCCAGTGTTAGTACCAGTTGGTGTACATTATTTTAATCCACACTTTTACTTGCTAGTGATATTATCCAGGCACTTAAGCTGGAGTAGGTATATCAGAGTTCATACCTCCGACCCAGTGATTCGAAATATCTGGGTTAACCTTTCACTTAAATTGTATCCCTCAATGCTTTATATTTTTGTCTTTATTGCATAATTTTCACTTATCTTTTCCTCTACGGCTTTGTAATTTATCTCTGTGTGGTCCATTTCTTAATACTTTGTTGTATCAAGCAATTTGTTTTGCAAATAACTATGAAAGATGTCAAAATGTACTACTAGCATACGTTTCGGGGAAATGGTAGTTGAGATATGGTTTTCTACAAGTAACTCGTATCTCTTTCTCGTGGATTCATAACACCATCTAACTTTTGTTTTTATCAGTCTGACGCACCCCCAGTGCTCTGCCAGTGTTACCTTGCAATCCGACACCGACGAGATGGTATGGTGATTCGTGTGAAGGACAGTGTCTTATTGTGTAGTGGTCCAAGCCGAAGTCATCCACCACATGTCGCGAAGATTGTTGCATTGTATCATGATAAAAATACAGGTGAGTGGTTATAGCATCGCACCTGATTTATCTATGCTAAACTATTTCTGATTATCTTACTCGTTTGGTTTACATGAGTTGATAAGCAGGCTTTCTTATAAGAGGAGGTCAATGTTCGAAAAGTTAGGCGGTGTTATTTTCAGGAGTATATCAATGGTGTAGTTATATAAAAGTAGGGATGTTGAGAAATCCTGACTAACAGTATTTGGTGTTATGAATTCTAAGGGCATTTCACTATAAACTCTCACTTGATCAATAGTATTTGACCAGAGCGTCTGTATATGCAGATGTCTGGATGTCATATCAAGCTCCTTCAGGATGAGCATTAGTTGTCGATTCAATGCATTTTTGACCTTTTCACCTTCGAAATGATTTTTAATGGGTTTTCCTATTGCGACTTTCCTGTGCCCAGTATAACAGAAATGTTTACTCTTACTAGAACATGGTCGGTGTTCAAACATGTACTGCAGAAGTAGTGACAGTTTTCTATTTAGCCGCTCCAACGATGGCTCATGGCAGTATAGTTTATATGTAGCGATCGTTGTGTTGATGTTGGAGGCCACCAGACTAGGTAGCGTCCCTCTTTATGCTAAAATTTTTCACGCGCAAGGAATAAGCGGTCGTCTGAACACTTGTCTTTTCATTGGGCTGAGTTTCTTAATGATTCATCTAAATGTTTTTCAGTTTTACGTAGCCTACCAACTTGTGCGTTAGAATCACCTGCTTCGATTACTATCTAAATATCTGTAATTCTGTTTTGTATCAGAAAGCTTCCTGTAAAGCTCATCTTTTACTCTATCCGAGCTACAGACAGTGGGGACGTAGGGAGAAAAAACTTTGAGACAAAAACGTGTGCCTCTATATTTTCAAGTTCTTACTGTGCTATTTAGATGGACAGCACATAAACGACTGTCGACAGGAATTTAGTCAAAAAGTTTCTTTTGCAACAGAAGGTATGTTGTGTGTGTGTTTCGGAGATACATCATACATTGATGGGACGATATTCTAGTGTAGTAGCTAGTGATGCTCATTGTCTGATTTAACATGAAGTTCGGACGTTGGAATCTTTAACTTGTAGCTTAAAGTGCGGTTTCAGGAAACTTGAGAACTCATTTCCTGGACTCAAATCGTTAGTACTGGTGGAAGAAGTCGTAGACAGATAAAGGTTGCTAGTGGAGATAAAAGAAATACTAGGTAGAGATGCACATGGGCTCCAGTATCCTGCGGTAACAAATGGTGTATGAACCAATTCCTTGGTCACCGGCTGCCATGGGACTTCATCTCCTCACGATGCTCCACTGCCTTGTGGGTTAGGCCTTTAGGTCAAAGGCTCGGGGTTTGGCTCCCTAAGAAAACCACCTGCTTCGGTTTGGGCACCCGGGCAGTATCTCAGCCCGCACACAAAAACATGATAAACTGTCTACTTATAAAAAATATTCCTCGCTCCAAATAGCAATCAAGTGACTCGCATTATTATTGATATTACTATTATTGTTATTATTACTATTGTTATTATTATTATTATTATTATTATTATTATTATTATTATTTACTACGTCATTATTCACCCTCTTTTATTCCTACTGTCTATACTTATTTTTTTCGACTTATACAGCAGCTCGTCTATGGTGGAAATTCGGCTCTGTCTAAACGTTCTCGAGTCACTGTCCGGTTGAAAATTGTATGTTACCACCGAATACGAGTACTGAAGCAGTATTTTTGAAACCACGTGCACCATTTAAACTGGCTGCCTTCAACGTTCGCACACTCATGCATGTTGGACAACAGATAGTACTGGCTATGTCTTTAGAAAGTCTTAATATCGATGTTTGTTGTTTATCCGAGACCCATATTCAAGACTGGTGAAGCACTACAAATTCGCTCTCCATCTGTCGCTTCGAAAAGCTTGTTTTACGTGCGTTTATCCGTGGACCCTGTGGCATCTCCGTCTGGTCTTGCTGACGTTGGTGTCTCACTAAGCGCTAGAGCTGAGGCAGCACTAATCGATTGGATCCACATTAACAGTCGGTTATGTGCTGTTAGATTAGAAAGTTCCATCAAAGTGAGAAGAAATCGGCGTGAGAAACGATGTCTTTTCGTCATCTCCGCCTATGCCCCGACAGATTGCAGCCCGTATGCAATCAAGGATGAGTTTTACCACCAGTTATCTGTTCTTCTCCAGAAAGTACGTTCGACAGATATTGTAGTACTAGCCGGAGACTTGAATGCTCAGGTTGGGTGTTTAGGCACAGAAGAGAGTCGTTTAGGTGGCCGATGGGGACTGGTTTTCGTTCTGGTCGAGGATGTATTGATCATATCTTCACTCTCTCTGCCAGATGTTGGAACACCGCCATACTTATCAAAGGCCAACAATCGTAGTGTTTCTTGACTTTAGGGCTGCTTTCGATTCGTTGGACAGGACTGTTCTCTGGCATTGTCCATTGAAGAAAGATGTGCCTGAGAAGTTTATTAACATCTGAAAAGCCCTATATGCAAACAGTTCAGACAGAGTGATGGCATACAACTTCCTCTCTCCATTGTTCCATCCAAAATTGAGGATCAGGCTAGGTTGCTTAGTCTCACCATTCTTCTTCATCTTCGCTATCGATTACGTTCTGAAAACAGCGGTGATGGGTGTAAGTAATGGTGGTGTGAATCTGTTGCCTGGAGAAAGACTTCTCGACCTTGAGTATGCGGACGATATTGTCGTACTGTGCGATAATGCCCAAGCAATACAATCCGCACTTAGTCAGTTGGCAATCAGTGTCCGTAGGTATGGTATGTGCTTTGCACCTTCGAAGTGCAAAGTACTTCTACAAGACTGGCAGGATTCTAACCCTGCAATCACTTTGGATGGTGAGCAGATATAAGTAGTCGAGAAGTTCGTGTATCTGGGTAGCTGCATAAGTGCTGGTGGTGGCGTGAGTGATGAGATCAATGCACGTATAGTGAAAGCCAGAGCGGCTTATGCCAATCTGGGCCATCTTTGGCGCCTTCGTGATGTTAGTCTGGCTGTAAATGTTCGGATCTACAACGCGTCGGTGAGAGCAGTTTTGCTCTATGCTTGTGAAACCTGGCCTCTCCGAGTTGAGGACGTTAGACGACTCTCTGGGTTTAGTCATCGTTGTCTCCGAAGGATTGCTGACATCCAATGGCAACACCATGTTAGTAATGCAGAGGTTCGGCATCGTGTGTTCGGGCACAGAGACGATAATGCAATTGGCTTCACCATCTTGAAACACCGACTTCGGTGGCTTGGACATGTTCTACGAATGTCGTCCTAGAGAATTCCACGTCGTGCATTATTTGCCGATGCCGGGACTGATTGGAAGAAGCGGAGAGGTGGTCAGTGTATGAAATGGTGTCGTGGTATGAAAAGATGCTGCAAAGGGCTGGCTTGTGTTGGTCCTTCACGACTCTCTGGCTGGGGTCCGAGAGATGGTGCTACACAGTGGCTAGAGACGTTATCAGATATGGCTCAGAACAGAAGCCAGTGGCGATCCTGCTGTAACCTTTTAATTTCCTTGTAAAAAGTGGTTGCTTCTTCCTTAACTGGAAGATTTCTTCTGGTTGTACCTTTCCGTTCCCCCATTATTACTATTATTATTACACTACCTTACACTAATCTGTTCGTTATTGTTCCACTTTTCTTTCACGCTCCTTACCTTTTTTTCCTTGTTTTTAAATTCTCATTGTTTTGTGTGGCGCATATATATTTGGTGCCCTCTTGTACCAATATTTATGTGTTAAAATAAAATAAGAAAAGGTAGAGAAATAGGTATTGATTGTAAACGAGGTTATCTCAGTTGCATTTAGAGGTATGTGGGCGGTTTTCACTTCCCGGTTACCCACACTGTGCTGAAACATCTCTTCTTGAGGGTTCTGGAAATTAAATAAAAATTACAGTGGTCTTAGAGACCTGGGAACCTGTCTGCAGCGCCTTTGGGGTAACTGCTGGAAGCTCATTACCTACATACTTTTTGTAGTTAGTTCTTGTTGTATTAGCTACTTACTTCTAAGTCTTTACCTCTGTCAGCGGAAATCCGTGGTACAAGGTGATGTGTAGTCCTTTTTGAAGCGATGTTTTTATAACCTCTTCCGTTTTAAGAAGGTAGCCTCGCTGTAGATCTAAATCCTGGTTATTTTTAGAAACATCTCACTCCATCCCGATTCCTATATGGCCAGCAGTGTGACTTCACTGTTCGACGTTAAGTTGTTGCTTTTAGCTTTACCACTATCCACCCTACTTGGGCCAGTAGAACGCAAAAAACGAGCCAATATATCTCGCTTTGATAATCATAATATGGAAACTCGACCACCACGTCAAAATAGCAGCTACGGTCGGTTCTGTCTCACCTATCGAGTCTCGGTCAGTTAAGTGGTCAGTCAGTCAGCTACAACGTAGGACCAGACACATATGTGCATCTGTCTAAGTTGCCATACCTCATTAGCACAACAAGATGAACACCGGATTAATAGAAGTAGTTAATTCAGTGGAGGTAATATATAAAAGAAAGATTGCATGTAAGGACACAGTACAGGAAGAAAGAATTAGTTCGTAGAAATCAAGGTATAAAGTAATTTTAATTTCATGGTAAAAGTGCAGACAGAGAGTCTATACATCTACTTCATTGTGATCGATTCTGAGCCATGTCACTCAGAGTCTCGAAACATTGGTTATGATAGTCACGCGGACCCCAACCAAGTAGTCTGCGTCTAACGACATGGATAAGACCAGAAGTTAGTGACCTCAATGACTGATGCCACGTTTAAGTCTGACCGCCCTTACCTTTCTTTCAACCATCCACAACGCTAGTCAGCATTGCACGTCGCGGTAATCGGTGTTCAGGCATACATGACACGGCACAACATCTCAGTCGATAAAGGTTTACAACCCTAATACCTTGCGTCTAACCTTACTATTACTTACCCGATGATCCCAGCAGATGCGAGCAATATTTCTAAGGCATCTGTGGTTAAATACTGATAGCTTACGAGTATCTTCTACTCTTAATGGTCACGTTTCGCAGCCATAAATTAGAACAGAACGGACTGCCGCGCAGTATACTCGTCCTTTTATTGATAGACGGATATCTCGCCGTCGCCATAGGTGACGTAAGTTGGCAGAAGCCCAGCGAGCTTTTCGAATCCGAGCTGAGATTTCGTCAGACACCAACCCATTAGGGCTGATTAGACTTCGAAGACAAGTGAAGTTGTCAACGTGTTCGACTACTTCACTCCCTATCGTTAGTTCAGGTGTTGACGCAGACCAGTCCTGAAGCAATAACTTACATTCAGAGGAAGAGAACCGCATTCCAAACATTCTGGCATTGTTACTTAGTGCTAGTAGAAGACTCTGCATTTTGTCAGCGTCTTCACCAAACGGGACTATATCATCTGCGTATTCTAAGTCAATATATGGACCTCCTGGAAGGTGATCAATGCCCGAAAATTCAGTAGACGAGAATGTTATTTTCATCAGTAGATCTACGATGAAGTTGAACGAAAATGGAGAAAGTGGACAGCCTCGACGGCACCACTTGAGGTTGCAGAAGCAGGTGACAGTTCGAGTAAAGAGCCCTCACAAGGTTTGTGTACTTCTGAGGTACACCTTTCAATGACAGACAGTTAAGTGATATCATTATTTCATCTCCGTAGTTCTCACAGTCGTTACGAATTAGCTGAATTATGTTTCATTTCCACTTTTAAGACTTCGATTATTCATAGCAACATATGCGACATTACTACAAAGTGTTTCTAACGATGGTCTTGGAAGTTTGAGTTTTCGAGTCCATTTCACTTCTGGAAAATGTTATTTATTAAATGTGTTATGACTTTTGTCCCTTTTAATTATCACACGATAAGATCGCCAATTAGAATACCGACTTATATGACCTTGACACTGCCGAACCAATGGCACATAAGCCAGTACGAGCAGCCTAGAGTCAACTCTGAGTTCTTATTGGTTTTCTGAGATTGTAGCTACTTGCTTAACCCAACCGGTTCAGCCCAGTACAGTAATATCAGCTTTCACTGTATGAATCATATATTTCAGAATACTTGGTTTGTATACAAGCAAACCAGACCACATACCAAAAAATAAAATAAAAAACAACAATTGTACAAGATCAAGCCAAAAAGTGGTTGTGATTGTGAAAGACTATTACTGATAAATTGGGAATAATTTAAGGATAGCAAATTTTATCATAGTAGTCAATAAGTCAAATAAAAGCTAGTGTTAAAAGGAACTTAACTATATATTATCTAGTTACTTAACAGTTATACAATAAGAATGTATATGATAACAGTCTATAATTAGTTCCCATAATTTACCAATAACTTAATCTTCTTCAGATATAACAAACTATTAAACTCATCAGTGGCACGTATCCTTAAACGTTTTAATAATTTCCTAACATTTTAATAAATTGGAATGACGGTAAAGACCTGTAACTTGAAAAGTTTGTGCGAATGACGTTGTCTAGGAAAATAATGAAAGCTGCATGACTAAATAATCTAGCTTCAAATGACAAAAATTAAAATAAATTACTTACCTAATACGTTTACAGCTTTCACATTTAATTTTTTTTAAAAGAGCCGGATGCTAATTAAAATTGTTTAGTTGAGTAGAATCAAAATATTTTGACTGTTTTCATACCACTTGTGTATTATATTGATAGGAATAAGTTTCTAATTCACTTGGTATTGTTTGGCTTGTATCCTCCCATTGAAGTTTAAGACTGCAATTGATCAGTCTGTTATTGGCATATGTGCATACTATGCGTATACCTCGATATTACCTTAATTCACAAGCTATTTGTAAGCAATGATGGATAGTGGTTAGCAATGGAATCCGGGACGCGCGTTTCGTTCTATTTGGGACTCGTCAGCTGGATGTACCTGCATCTCATAGAGTTGATGTTCTAATGATTAAAGCATTTTTAAAATTGTTTGATAATGAAATAAAGTTTACAAATGTTATGATAATACTGGCAGGTGTTTATTTACCCAACGGTTGAAAATTAGTGAGTTTGTAATACACTCCAAAAACGTTTATGTTGAGGATTTTACGTAGACTCTGTCTTTCTTCATTTTTCGTCCTCTTGGACTTTAGTGTTTTGGATGATTGTCTGTCTATTCTACTTTTGTATGATATTTATCTAAAATATTATATTTTTATCTAGACACAAAAATGATGTCTCTACTATGGTACTATCGTCCTGAACATATATCTGGTGCATCACACAATTTTGTCAAGAATGAACTTTATGCAAGCAGACATCGTGACACTAATCCACTTGACTGTATAGAAGACAAGGCATATGTACTTTCAGTTAGTGCATATAATCGTTATATGGCAAAGCTTAAACGTCAACAGGTAAATTTATTTTTCTAAATGAAGTGTTTCCTATAATCTCTTCGAATTTTACATCATTCTAGGATGGCATACTAAAGAAATTAATAGTGCAATATTTTTTTCTGTTTTTCTCCGTGAGCTGAAATTTTACGGTTTCCTAGTTGAGGTTTATTCATATATTCTAAACCTTTAAACAGACGAACTAAGTATTTCGAAGTCCACCAATAAGGGCCTTTAAATAGTAGTTTGTATTTATAGTTATTACAGTTGTAAATCTTTGCTTTGACTGTGTGACATGTGTTCAGATCAACTTCTGTCTCTTAATAGAACGTTGGTTCAAAAGATCTTACGTAACAGCATAGCGCAACGAAAAGTAAAGGATTTGTTATCTCCAATTAGTATTCTACATCTGACATCAAAATTCCCCATTCAGTAGATCGAAATGCACTAGCAATGTTTTAGAGGCACTTATCATTACATATATTGATGAATGGAGAGGGGATTACTTCACTATGTAGTCGCTAAGTCAATGAGTTTCCAGACAAGTAGTCAATTCTTAGGAGGGAAATTCACAACAAAATCAGTAAAAATGGGTAAAGCTGAGAGTATTTTATAAGATTTGATCTAACTTCAATTGTTCAAATAAAGAGAATTTAATAAGCTAATCGCAACAGCAAACAATGCTACAAATAATTTAATATCGAGAGAACAGAATACCGTCTTCAAATAATTTAGTGGAGCTACAATTGAATGTTGGCATATATGCCAGTGAGTCAGTCAGTCAGTAACAACGTAGAACTTCGTACGTACGTACATCAGTTCGAGTTGCCACACCACCTTAGCACAGAGATGCAGTTGTCGATTCAAATCCCATAGTGGTAGAGGTAATAAGAGTATAAGCAGTAATCGGGCAGATTAGGGTTTGGAGATGTTATTTAAAGAGTATAATCCAGTGAAACAAATTTGGAAAGAGGAAAAAGGGACATGAAGAATTCAGAATATTAGAATTTGGGAGAACACAAAGAGTGGATGCACCTGCGCCATTGCAAACGATTTTGAGCCATGTCATTCAGGGTCTCTAACCATCGGTTGCTATCATCTCGTGGTCCCCAACCAGGTAGTCTACACCTACCAACATGACTCAGTCCACTTGTCAGTGACTTCATGGACTTGTGCCATGTTTTGGTTTGGCCGCCTCTAGCTTTCTTCCAATCTACTCCTATACCACTGAACATAGCACGTCGAGGCAGTCGGTCGTTGGGCATATGTTACACGTGTCCAATCCATATCAACTGGTGAAGTTTCACTACGTCATCAATTGGTTTGCCATCCTTACCTAGTACCCGTTTCCTAACAACTGAGTTACTTACTTGATGGTCCCACGATATACGAGCAATGTTTCGAAGACACCTATGATCGAATACTAGTAACCTACGAATATCCTCTACTCTTACCGGCCATGTTTCACTGCCATAAAGTAGGACGGAATGAACTGCTGCGCAGTAAACCCGTCCTTTGGTTGATAGACGGATATCTCGCCTACGCCATGAATGACGCAAGTTGGCAAATGCTAGTCCAGCCTTCTGTATCCGTGCTGAGATTTCGTCACACATCAGACCACAAGGGCTGATGAGACTTCCAAGATAAGTGATGCGGTCGACACACTCAACTACTTCACTCCCTATCACTAGTTCGGGTGTCGATGTAACCCAATCCTGAAGCAACATTTTGCATTTCGAGGGAGAGAATCGCATGCCGAACATGCTTGCATTGTTGCTTAGAGTGGTCAGAAGACTCTGCATTTTGTCAGCGTTTTTACCAAATAAAACAATGTCATCTGCATATTCTAAGTCAACAAGTGAATCTCCCGGTAGAAGTTGAACTCCTGAAAATTCAGACGAGGAGAGTGTTATTTCTAAAAGTACGTCGACCACAAAGTTGAACAAGAATGGGGAGAGTGGACAATATGCCAGTGAATTGTAACTTTGATAAACTCCATCACTGGTGCTGAAATATTGTCTTTTTGAGTTGTCGCGTATGTTCTGGCTCATTGACAACTGTATAATAACTAAGTAGGCAAGTATTACGTTTAGCTCAGATTTAATTCTAGTAAATTGTTTCCTTGTAATATTTCAGACGGGCTATCAGAAGATGCCACTTAGTTCCATTGTACCTCAATCTATACAGTGTGGGTTACATGGTAGTAATAGTTCAAACGATAACTTTTTCATGGATAAAGTAAGTTCAGGATACTCAACAGAGTTCCTTGTTCTTTTTAACAAATACTACTTATATTTAACAAGTTTGCTTTGATGATACACTTTTAATAGACAAATAGTTGTAGTCAAATTTGTTTCAAAATGATTAGAATTATATAGTGTGTTAATCGCGTTTGAGTAACTGTACTGAGCTATTAACCGAGAATAAAAATATTGCTAAGATTAGAACACTATTAGACTTTATTACATATGGTCACCATGGTTGATGAGCACACACATTTTCTTTGAAAGTTAATGCTATCATTTTACGTAAATTTAAATTAAAGATAAGTTGATGTGTAGAATTATCGTATTCTATTGTAATTGTTTGTTCTATTACACTAATCTAGTTTCTTTCAACCACTATTTTTAAACTTAATGCACTGAATATTAGATATTATATAGATAAATTTTGTACAACATTTACCTTATTATAATTACATTGATGGGATGGCTTTGCGACTAAAGTATTCAACTTTCTATCAATGTATTGAAATTGGAATCTGGCTTTTTCTGATTAACAGAATGGTATCACCAGCTCTCATATGAAATAACTGAAAACTGATTTCACAACTTTATACTCAACTACTTGGTAGTTGGGTTAGAGTTAACTGCACTAAAACTATATGATCGACTCTAATTTGTTTATTATACCTGTTGTGAACAGGGAAATAAGAAGCCCAGACAAACTACGAAAGCTCTTTCTTGGGACGTTATTTCATTTTATTTAAAACTTGTAAAACACTTATATCTATTTTTGTCCCTATTTTATTCTACAGAACATGAGCTTTCGTTCGATGTATCATTCATTGCCATACCTCTTTTTGTTCCGAAACTATTGTAATTTAAACATAATATTTTGCACCTTATTTTCTACCCTAATTCCCAGTTTTGGACATAATTGTATTTTCACAAATTATCGTACGTTGTGGTCCGGATACTCACTTATTTATTTATGTACGTTTTTGCACTAATCCGAATTCAGAATTCAGAGAATTCAGAGTGTTCCAACTGTCTTGTCTTCTCTCACTTGCGCGCTTGCCAGCCAGTCAGGTTCTAGAATAGTTCTCTCTCTACCCCATCTCGAACTCACGCGCACTAGCTTCAAGGTTAAACCGCTCAGCCTATTGCGCCAAGGTCATAATCTAGACTAGACAGATCAAGGTCAAGTCATAACAAAGTATCGACGGGGTAAAAAGCGATTCAAGGTCATAACAATACCCCAACTTTGTTGAAATAGTTATAACTCCTCATTCGAAATGCATGATTTCAGATTAACTCATAAACTTTTATGAAAATCTGTATCAGTCAAAGCATTAAATCAGCAAATTAAATTTAGCATTCTCTTCACTGTTTTATCGAAGTATATTTCGTAGATTTATGTGTATTGTTTTTGCATCGAGTTATTCATTTGAATCCCTCATCATTAATGCTTGAACAATTGTAGAATATCGTTAGCGACACTCATACGCCATTGCATACACTTAACAAGTTACATTTGGACACTTGTGATTCTGTGTTGTAAGCGTAATTAATTTATATGTTCTGAAACATATGTCTATTTGCTGTGTTTTATTGAACCATTCCCTACAATTTATTACATAGTTCAGTAGACAGTAATATGAAGCCTGTGAAGGTTTGTAGGTTTCCAAGATAGTTTTCATTATGTACTGATATCAGAACCATTCAACAGCAGTGGAGGATTGGACAAGTGTTTCATCGTGGTTTCGGAGACACTGAATTCCAGAGTTCTAAATGATAGTTGTTTGATTTCTACTCTGTGATTCCATTTTTTCTTTCCCGTGAAACCTGAATATATGGGGTTTATTACTTTGTAGGACCATTGATAAAAATTATTGAAAAATCTTAAATTGATCAGAAAAAAGCACCTATCAGCTTCTAGTCCTAATAGTTCTTTAATTGATGTTAGTTCATGATAAAAATTTACGCAAAATTTAAAAATCTTTGAGGTCTATTTTTATTTCTTGAAAATCCATTTTTATTGATGTATCATTTGTATTTATATCTAGTTGATTTACTGTTTTCATTATATTTCTTTTTTTTGTAGCAGTTGTTATCTGAATGTGATGAATGTTTTAACAATGTCAGTTGTCAAAGTGTTTTCTTCTGCCGTGGTTTGTATGATTATAAACTAAAACGTGTTACTAAATACCCTGTATTTGGAAATCAGTGTATCTTATCTTCTCATTTTGTTAATCGACCCAAATTTTATGGACAGCATTTTACATCACCAGCAACAACATTAACAACGAAAAATGTTACTGAACGTAATAACTTGGACATTTCAAATGATCACTGTTGTGACACATCTGTTTCTCTTAAGGATGATGTTCATAAAATCGTTAATACTATTGAACCCATAACTTTGTTGGATGAAAGTGTACCCTTTACAGTGTGTTCAACGTCTATAGTTTCTATGGGGAAAAACACAAACACCACAATAACACCGTCTCAACTTGCCGAAAATGATTGTCATTTTGTTGATAATTCTCATATGAACGGAGAATGTGAGCGTTTATCTTATGGCAGTCATGAAGGTAGAACATCAACTCCTGTAAAAAATCTTGATCAATATAAAGCTGTTGAAGAAAGTATAACAACTGTTGTCGAATCGCAACAGACCTTGATTGCCGAAAGCAGTTTAAATGCTCCACCTAAAATGTATTCGACTGATTCATGCATTGAAATCACTAAACCAGATCTATTAATTTCAGAAATTCGTGTAACTTCACCAAATGTAGAGTCCCAGTTCACTTCATGTTCATCTTTAGAAAAAAAACTGTCTAAGGTGACTGAAAATTCCATCGTTCAGCCACTGGAAACCAATTGTTCATCAACTGTCGTTGGACAACTATGTGAAAACAAACCAGCAAACCACCTTGCATGTCAGTCTAACTTCTCACCTGTTCAACCTGTATGGCCAGTAGTTACTACATCTGTAATCAGCTATGATAGGTCTATCCTTGAAAGAAGTGCTGATATATCCGTTAATTGGGGTGAGCATGGTGAACAGATTGCTTTGTCTCTTGATTGTAGGATTAAAGAGAATAATCTTAATGGCAACAGTCAGATGACATCACATCTTACTATGTCTTCCGAATCTCTAGGTCCAACACAATCGTTTATTGATATGACAAAATTACCTGTACATCCTAATCCGATGCATTATTCCAAAATTAACTCAAAATGTCTTGATCAGGATCAACCACGTCTAGTAATACTTTAAGTTGTTTTCAATCATAAAATTTCAGTTTACATCACTGTGAACAGATTTCCTGAAATTAAATCTAAAATATGTAAGGAAACTCCTCGTTTCAGCTGTGACATACATATTCATCTAGTTTTGTCCTACCATACAACTGTTTAATAGATGGGGCATCACTGTGAAGTTATACTACTGGAATTATCTTTCAATTGAATGAAAGATTAATGACACTATTATCTCTTTCATACTACATTTCACAGATTACTGGAACTAGTTACATTGTTATTACTAAATCTACTACCTAATTTAGTTTTTTTGTTAACTTTAACTAATATTGTCACATATATTCATTTATGAAAACAAACAAGGTTTCTTTTTTCAATCTGCTAAATGATTGTTTTGTCTATAACTTTTTTTTCATTGTTTCTTTTTATGTGTGATTGTCATTATCTATCACTTGTATATTTCTCATTTACTACTCCTTCAGATAAAGAATGCAGCATTCTCAGTTTTGTTTTTCTATTTCTACTCATGTAATGTTTGTTTCAGCTTTTCGTTTTTAAGATATATATAGAATCACTAATCCGTCGATAATGTGCTGTCCTTTTATGTACACTGAAATGGTATATCATACTTTTTATCTTAGAATTTAATCTATTTGTTGAATTCATTGTGTATATTTTTATTTAAATAAGAATTGAGTGTTTATTTTGAAAGATACGAGTTAGTTCTGAACTTATTCACATGGTTGTACCGCACTTTATCCTAGTGTACATGGACGTTTTCCGGGTCATTAAAAAATTCATTTTCTAGAGGAACAAACTGTAGAATGTAAATTATGACTATTTTTCTTACTATCACGATTCCGATTGCCTATTAGTTAAATATCTTGAACTATGGTAAGAGTAACTTAAAGATTCATAGATTTATGATAAACTCCTCAATTAAAAAATGCAACTCTTTCCCTCCAAAACCCACGAAATATTGACTCGTGAAGTAGTGTTTCTTGATACTAGGGCCGCCTTCGATTCATTGGACAGAACTGTTCTCTGGGGTTATCCATTGAAGAAGGGTGTACCTGAGAAGTTCATTAACATCTTGAAAACACTACATTACTAACACCTCAGGCAGTGATGCCATACAACTACTCTCCATTGTTCCATTCAAGGATTGGGGTCAGGCAAGGTTACCCGATCTCACCATTCCCCTTCAACTTTGTTATCGATGAGTTCTAGAAACAGCTCTGATGGATGTAAGTAATGGTGGTGTGAATCTGTTGCCTAGAGAAAGACTTCTCGACCTTGAGTATGCGAATAATATTGTCTTACTGTACGGTAATACCGAAGCCATGCAATCCACACTTAACCAGCGGCCAATCAGTGTCCGTAGGTATGTATGTGCTTTACACATTCTAAGTGCAAAGTACTCTTACAAGAATGGCTGAACCTGCACTCCTTGGTAGTGGGTAGATAGAAGTAGTTGGGATGTCCATGTACCTGGTTGGCTGTGAAAGTGCTGTTGGTCGAATGAGTGGTAAAATCGATCCACGTATGGTGAAAACCAAGGCGGTTTATGCAGATTTGGTCTATTTTTGGTGCCTTCGTGATGTTAGTCTGGCTGTAAAATGTTGAATATATAACGCGTCGGTGGGAGCAGTTTAGCTGTACGCTCGTCAAATCTGGCCTCCAAGTTGAGGATATTAGACAACTCTCTGTTTAATTATCGTTGTCTCCAAAGGATCGCTGATAATCAATGGTGACATCATGTTAGTAATGAGTAGGTTAGGCAACGTATGTTCAGTCACAGGATAATTCAATTGGTATCACCATCTTGGAACGCTGACTTCGGTGGCTTGGACATGTTTAGCGAGTGTCTTCTCAGTGAATTCCACGTCGTGCGTTATTTGGCAACGCTAGGATTGGTTGGAAAAAGCGGAAAGGTGGTCAGTCTATGACATGATGTCGTCGTATAGAAAAAAAGTCATCTGTCTTTCACGACTCCCTGGTCGGTGTTCTGGAGGTAGTGGAATATAGTGGCTTGAGACGTGAATTGAAATGGGAGCCAGTAATGGCCCTTCTGTAATTTTCTTCATGAAAGTGAGATTTCCTTTGACTGGAAGAATCTATTCTGGTGTTATTTTTCTTAGCTAAACTGCTTCTCGCGACTTTTTTACTCATTCACTAATTTATGTTCATTTTGGTTATTTTATTATACTCACCTTCGTTTCGTTATCTTTTAACAATCCTATTTTTATTGTGTAGTGTATATTTATTTTGGTGCCTCCTCGCTCTAGTAGTTATGTGTTAAAATAAGTAAATAGTTCACCCCAAATATCTCTAATAGTACACATTGCACAGTGAATATTTCTTCCAATTTGGTCAATGGAGGTAGTTGTCGTGCAGATTTTCAGCAATCCCATCCTTTAACACTAAAACTAGTTTTTCCCAAAAAATGTGTTCGAATCAAATTCGACATTGTATATCATACTCAATAGTGGTATTCGCTATAGGTAATATATGAAATACTTGTACTTTTATTTACATTGAAATGGTAGAACAATGTAATCAGACTAGAATATGTTCGGTTTTTTCAATGGTTTCGATTTCTGATGCTCGGAAAAAGTGTCTGAGATGTGAGAAACATTGTTACATAACACAAATATATCTCATCTTTTTATCCTTTCTTCCTAGCAGCTTCTATCGTTTTTCATGCTCTTTAAATATCTCATGTGATACAACCGATGAGAAACGTTAGAACTCATTGGTTATATTAGAATGCATGGCACATGCACTGAACTGCTGGAATATCAGAGGCCAAAATGTATACCATGATTGCGAAGAACTACTGGCAAGCGAAAATATGGCTCCATGTACATTTTTAATTAATCTTAAATTATAGTGGAAATGATTGGTCTAATGCTAGAATAAGTTTTTCAACGCTATTACTCAGAACAAGTAGAGAAATCCTCTTGCTGAGGTTCTGCAAATGTAATTTTTTCCTAATGTATACATAGTGTTAGTTAAAATCGTTAAAGGCATTATAAAAATTTTGTTACGTCCTATGGTATATTCAAGGAATTTTCGTGTACCATAATCTATAGATGAAGTACATGGGTATTCTTACTGTTCATCCAACCCTAAATTAGGCATTGGAATAGATTCTATCAGCCAAGTTAACTAACTTAACGCTAGAGTACAGTTAATACCATAACTATTTCGATGAAATAGTTATTTTTTTGTCGATTTCATCTCTAAAATCTGCACAATCATATCTACATGAGATGATTTATGTGATGAATGAGTTCGTATTCATGGGTATAATGAATGAAAATCACAGTGTTCTGTTCCGTAATAGTTGAGGGGAACAGGACAACACCGGATATGAAGATATCATGGGACGGCACAGACTGGGAGAAAGAAACGAAAATGGTGAGAGATTTGCAGACGTATATGCCTTCATTAAACTGGTCATAGGCGGCACTATATTCCCACATAAAAACATACACAAAGCCACACGAACTTCACCGGACCCCACTACACAGAACCAAGTCGACCTTATGTGCATCAACAATAAGTTCTGGAGGACGATGGAGGATGTGAGAACCAAGAGAGTAGCTGGCATAACATCAGGTCATCACTTTCTGATCGTCAAGACGAAAGTAAAACTTAAGAAGCATTGGACAACGGGGCGGACAATATCACAAAAGTTTAATATGCCTTTTCTTCCGGATACTGACAAATTCATCAAATCCAAGACAGCCCTCAGCAATAGGTTCCAGGCCTTTCATGATCTACTTAATGGAGAGCAACTGGAAAGAGATAAAAGAGGCAATCACTTCAACATGTCATGAGGTTCTTGGCCACAAGAAGCACAACCACAAGGACTGGATCACTGTTGATACACTGGATAAGATTCAAGAAAGGAGGAACAAGAAGGCAGCAATCAATACCAGCCGAACAAGAGCAGAAAAAGTCAAGGCACAAGCTGAATAAACAGAAGTAAACAAGCAAGTGAAGCGGAGCATTAGAACTGACAAACGTAAATAAATGGAAGAGTTATCAATGACAGCGGAAAAGGCTGCGAGAGAAGGAAACATGAAACAACTGTATGCCTAACGCTGTCCCTGTTAGAAGTGGTGTAATACAAGGCAGTGTCTTAGGTCCTTTGCTCTTTTTAGTGTTTATCAATGATATTTGTGAAAGTTTTTGTGTCGGTAAGCCCCTTCTATATGCAGATGATCTTAAAGTAGTATATTCATTTTCTCCATATGACCTGAAAAATATGCAAAATTGCATCAGCATGGAGCTTAACAAGGTAGCACAGTGGTGCTTAAAATGGCAACTGGAGCTTAATACGGCTGAATGTGGATGGATATGCTTCGGCGATACATCACTCAACCTAGACATTACCATAAATTGAGAAGTGTTATCTAGGTTACATACAGTAGTAGACTTAGAACTTAGATATTCCCAAGACTTGTCGTTTACTGAACATATATTAAAACAGACCTCTAAGTCTCAACGTCTAATAGGTTACATAACTCGAAATCTTTACAACAATGAGTCACGTATTCTAATGTACAAAGTTTGTGCTCGACCTATTCTAGAATATTGCACGTTTATTCTTAGCAGTGAGCTCATAAAGGATAAATTAAGGCTGGAATCAGTACAGCGACGATTTACACTTCGTATTCTTGGAGCTGATTGTACCTTAACTTATAATTCTAGATGTAATAAACTTCGGTTAGACCCTTTATGGAGGAAGAGACTCAAACTAAATCTTATCTTTTTCTTCAAACTACTTCATAAACTATCGTTTACATCCAATCACGCGATTCAATATGCAGAAACTTCTCATTATGACATCCGTAATTCCTTGGCACCAGTGAAACAAACTTATTCTAATCACAATTGATTGATCACTGGGTGGTGATCAATGTCATGCTTGTCTAATCCTTATTAGTCCAGATCGAATGCTATCGATCATGTTGCAATGTGGCCACCAGTCTAGGTGACTCGACA